GCACAAGCACCAGAAGGACGACTAGATAAATGGGAGCTCCTAAAAATCAAACACTTATGCTCATCAAAAGACTTCATCAAAAGAGTAAAAAGACAACCGACAGACTGGGAAAAAACTTTTGGCTACAACAAATCCGATCAGCATCTAATCTCTAAAATCTACAAGATACTGCAAAACCACAACAACAGAAAGACAAATAATCTAATTAAAAAATGGGCAAAGGATATGAACAGGCACTTTGCCAAAGAAGATATTCAAGTGGCTAACAGATGCTGGAGAGGTTGTGGAGAAACTGGAACACATACACTGTTGATGGGAATGTAAAGTGGTACAACCACTTTGGAAACTGATTTGGCGCTTCGTTAAAAAGCTAGAAATAGAAGTACCAAACGATCCAGCTATCCCGCTCCTAGGAATATATTCTAGATCTGTCACAGGAGTAGATATATGCACACCCATGTTCATTGCAGCATTGCTCACAACGGCACAAAGACGGAAACAACCTAGATGCCCATCAAGAGATGAATGGATAAACAAACTATGGTACATACACACAATGGAGTATTATGCAATGATAATGAACAATGATGAATCTGTGAAGCATCTCATAACATGGATAAAACTGGAGGACATTATGCTGGTGAAATAAGTCAATCAGAAAAGGACAAATATTGCATGGGACCTCTACTGTAAAAACTCATGAAAAAGTTTACACATAAAAAGTAACAATCTTTGTTGGTTATGAGGGATGGGGGGGCAAATACTAAATAGACAATAGATAAGTGGTAACTTTGGTGAAGGGTAAGACAGTATACAATACTGGGGAAGCCAGCACAACTTGTACAAGGAAAGGTCATGGAAGCTCCACAGACACATCCAAACTCCCTGAGGGACTAAATTGCTGGGCGGAGGGCTGTGGGGACCATGGTCTTGGGGAACATCTAGCTCAATTGGCATAACACAGTTTATAAAGACAGTGTTCTACATTCTACTTGTGAGTAGTATCTGGGGTCTTAAAAGCCTGTGAGCAGACATCTAAGATACTCCACTGGTCTCATCCCTTCGGGAGCAAGGGAAAATGAAGAGAACAGGATACAAGGATAAGATTAGTCCAAAGGACTAATGGACCACAGCTACCAAGGCCTCCACCAGACTAAGTCCAGCACAGCTAGATGGTGCCTGGCTACCACTACTGACTGCTCTGACCGGGATCACAACAGAGGGTTCTGGATAGAGCTGGAGAAGGATGTAGAACAGAACTCTAACTCACAAAAAAAGACCAGATTTACTGGCTTGACAGAGACTGGAGAAACCCCAAGAGTACGGCCCCCGGACACCCTTTTAGCTCAGTGGTGAAGTCACTCCCAAGGTTCACTGTTCAGCTGGGGATTGGACAGCCCCATAAAACAAAATGGGACTAATGAGGCATAGCAGTCCAGGGAGAAGGACTAGAACGCAAGAGGGGACAGGAAACCTGGTGATAAGGAACCCAAGGTTGAGTAAGGACAGAGTTGACATGTAGTGGGGTTGTTAATCATTATCATAGGGCAATACGTGTACTAACTGTTTAAGAAGAAACTGTTTTGTTCAGTAAACCTTCATCTAAAGTGAGAATCGCAGCACAACTGGAAAAATGTAATCGATGTCACTGAATTGTACATGAAGAAATTTTTGAAATGGTGTATCTTTGGCTATGTATATTTTCACCAAAAAAAAAAAAAAAAAAAGTCCTCCAAGGTCGAGAAGGGAGAGTGTTGACATGTCGTGGGGTTATTAACCAATGTCATAAAACAATATGTGTAGTAACTGTTCAATGAGAAACTATTTGTTCTGTAAACCTTCATCTAAAGTACAAGAAAAAAAAATGGGCAAAGGATATGAACAGGCACTTCGCCAAAGAAGATATTCAGGCAGCTGATGAACACATGAAGAAATGCTCACAATCATTAGCCATTAGAGAAATGCAAATCAAAACTACAATGAGATATCATCTCACCCCGACAAGGTTAGCTTTAATCCAAAAAACACAAAATAATAAATGGGAGAGGTTGTGGAGAGACTGGAACACTTATGCACTGTTGGTGAGACTGTAAAATGGTATAACCACTTTGGAAATTGATTTGGCGCTTCCTTAAAAAGCTAGAAATAGAAGTACCATACAAGCCAGCTATCTCACTCCTTGGAATATATCCTAGAGAAATAAAGCCGTCACACAAATAGATATATGAACACCCATGTTCATTGTAGCACCGTTCACAATAGCAAAAAGATGGAAACAACCTAGGTGACCATCAATGGATGAATGGATAAACAAATTATGGTATATCCACATAATGAAATACTAGGCAACAATAAAGAACAACAATGAAGTTGTGACACATCTTATAACATGGAGGAAGCTGGAGGGCATTATGCTGAGTGAATTTAGTCAGTCATAGAAGGACAAATATTGTATAAGATCACTATTATAAGAACTCAAGAAACGGTTTAAACACAGAAGAAAACATTCTTTGATGGTTACAAGGGTGGGTAGGGAGGGTGAGTGTTATTTACTAACTAGACAGTAGATAAGAATTATCTTAGTTGAAGGGAAGGACAGCACACACTACAGGGGAAGTCAGTACAATTGGACTAAGACAAAGCTAAGAAATTTCCTGAATACAATCAAACACTTTGAGGGACAGAGTAGCAGGGGTAGGGTTCTGGGAACCATGCTTTCAGGGGACATCTAGGTCAACTGGCATAACAAAGCTTATTAAGAAAATGTTCTGCATCCTACTTTGTTGAGTGGCGTCTGGGGTCTTAAAAGCTTGTAAGCGGCCATCTAAGATGCATCAATTGGTCCCAACCACCTGAAGTAAAGGAGAATGAAGAACACCAAAGACACAAGGAAAGTAGCAGCCCAAGAGACATAAAGGGCCACATAAACCAGAGACTTCATCCACCTGAGACCAGAAGAACTAGATGGTGCCTGGCTACAACCAGTGACCGCCCTGACATGGAACACAACAGAGAGTCCTGGAGGAAGCAGGAGAAAGGTGGGGTGCAGAACTCAAATTCTAGTAAGTAGACCAGACTTAATGGTCTGACTGAGACTGGAGGAACCCCAGAAAGCATGGCCCCTGGATTCTCTATCAGCCCAGAACTAAAACAATTTCCGAGGCCAACTCTTCAGACAGGGATTGGACTGGACTGTGGGACATAAAGTGATACTCGTGAGGAGTGTGCCTCTTAGCTCAAGTAGATACAAGAGACTAAATGGGCAGCTTCTGTCCGGAGGTGAGATGGGAAGGCAGAGAGGGTTAGGAGCTGGTTGAATGGACAGGAAAAATCAGGTGGAAAGGAGGAGTGTTCTGTCACAGTATAGGGAGAGCAATTAGAGTCACATAACAATGTACGTATAAATTTTTGTATGGGAAAAAATAAAATGTTCTAAAGTCTCTGTCTTGTTCAGGAGGACGATAAATCTATTGATTAACTTCAGACTTTGATAAATATGCATGTCAAAAAATCTAGGTAACCATTAAAGTATAGACATAGAGACTATATAGCTTCCAAACTGATAGGAAAAAAAAGGAAATGACAAAAATTACTCAAACGAGGCAAAAAGAGGAGAAAAAGCAATGGACATAAATAGAAAAACAGGTCATATACACAAAGGAACGCTAAAAGAAAGGAAAGAATCCAGCACAAATCAAAATAAGTCAAAAATGAAAGAAAAAGAAAACAGAAATAAGCAGGAAAAAAAGGTCTAATGGCACAAAATAATTGTGCAAAAGAGAATCTAACCATTTCTCACCACCTCCACTATTATCACCTTGCCCAAATCATCATCGTTTCTTGCCTGGACTATTGCAATACCTCCTAAATGGCCTTCCTACCTCTGCCCTTGACCATCTACAGTCTACTTTTTACACAACAGCCAGAGAGATTCTGTTAAAATATAAGTGAGATCATCTCACTACACTTCTCAAAACCCTCCAATGACTTTGTATCTTGCAAAGAATAAAATCTCAAGTGATTACCAAAGCTGAGAAGGCTCCCCACAACCTCTTTGATCTGATCCATTTCTCACCATTTCTCCCTTATTCCTTGGCCTCCTTGTAGTGTCTCCACACACCAAGCACACCCCGGACTCAGGGCCTTTACATTTGCTGTTTTCCTCTGCTAGGAATGCTCTTCCCTCGTGTTTCCACATGACTGACACCTTCAGTTCCCTCAAGTCTATTCAAATGTCACCTCATCAGAGAGACTGCCCTGATACCATACATAAACTAGCACCTCCAATAACTCTCTGATCAGTAATTCTGCTTTATTATTTTTCATAACACTTTTCCTTAAATGTATGTTTATTTATTTTTACCCTCTCTCTCTCCCCATAAGCTTCATGAAAGCAGGGACTTTGTTTATTCACTGCTGCATTCCCAGTGCCTACCACAGTGCCTAACATAGTGGGCACACAGTAAATATTTGTTGAATAAAGGAATGAACAACAACCATAGTAAATGGGATTCTCTTTCACAGCATATGGAGTTCATCAGTAAGGGGTCCTATCTGTATCTTTTTTCTAGCTTTGTAGTACTTAGTAAATATTTTCTGAGTCCTCAATATGCTAGATACTATACAAGGCAGGTGCTTTGGGAGGGGTGGTGGTGCAGGGGTCAAAGACCACTAAGACAAAGACATAATTTCTTCCCCAGCCGAGCTGACACAGATAATTGTAATACAATGTGGTAAATGCTGTAACAGACAATGAAAGAAATAACCACTCTGCACTCTCATACACATACATTTCAGAGTACTTCAGAATACGTATTAAAAGAAGACAGGCAGAAAATACATTTAAAACATTAGAAGTGCTTTTCTTGGCATGGAGGATATATAGTAATTGTTTCCCTCCCTCCTACTTGTATACATTTCTTAAATTTTCTATAATTGCCACGTATTAATTTTTAGACTCAAGAATAAAATATTTACATTTTTCAAATAGTTAAAATTACCCTGTTTGAGTTGGAGTACTTTAAACTCATGTCTAAGCTGTTCATTTTTCTTTTCATAACCATGGGAAAATTTTTCTCTTTTCTCTGTTAAGTTGCAGACACGGTTCGCATAATTTTCCACCTGAAAAGCAAGTAATAAATATTCTTACTCTGAGTCCATGGCTCATATTTTAATGCATATTGAAAATTCAGTAGGTAAAAGAGCCATTAAAAGATCGCTATGGAAACTCTATGCGGCAGTTCTACTCTGTCCTATAGGGTCACTATGAGTTGGAATCTACTCAATAGCAATGGGGGTATATCATCTATAATCTAAGACATAAACAGAAAAGAGTTTTCCTCAAGTGTGGGTCTCTCTCCCTAAACTTCCTTCCAGTTGTCTTGTTTTCAGACACTATGTTTCCCACAGATATGATGGCACATAACCACAAATTTCTGGAACAATCACAATCTCTATGCAATATATAAAGGACATCATATATTTAATTTCACCACACTATGGGACTATAACCTCCCACTTTATAGACGAACAGGCTTAAAGAGGCTAAGAGATTTGTCCAATGTCATGTAAGGAATAAGGGGAGAAAACAGAATTCATACTCAGGTGGGCTGAAAGCAGAGACTGAGCTTGTACTTTGCCAAAAATTACTTGGAAGTAAACTATCAAAATGGAGCCCTGGTTGCAAGTAGTTAAGAGCTCAGCTGCTAACTAAAAAGTCGGCAGTCTGAATCCACCAGCTGCTCCTTGGAAATCCTCTGGGGCAGTTCAAGTCAGAATCGACTCGACGGCAATGGGTTGGGGGTTAGACTATCCAAATGACTGAACTGCAATTTGCCAAATCATTTAGAAGCCTATTGGACAACTAAAGGGTACTTTACAGACCCTCAGAATGTGTACAAGAAACTGAAGGTACAGTAAAAGGAACACTAAAAGTTGTAGTCCAACTTTATCACTTCCTGTTTAGCTTCAGCTTCCTCCTCCGTAAAATGTCAATAACAACACCACCTATTTCTAGTAATAATAATAATAGCTATAATTTATTGAACACTCACTAGGTGCCAAGTACTTGTACGAAATGCTTTGCATACGCTAACCTGTGTAACCCTCACAAATAGCAATGAAGAAGCTAGTTATCATTCCCATCTTACAGGTAAGGAATTTGGAACTCAAAGAAGTAATTTGCCCAGAGTTACACAGAAGCAATGCTAAACGTTGAAGTGCTTAACACTGAAGCTCATGCTCTCTATGTTATGTTTATGTCATGCTATGTTATACTGCATTGTGTTTTAGAGGAGCTGCATTCTTCTTAAGAATTTGGAAATCAGATGGTCCTCTAAGAGTGAAATTTAAAAATCGGCAAGTTACCTATTTGAGTTGAGATGTGGAAACACAGTAGAGTGATCCCAGGTAACCTGAGAGAATTTATTAACTCATTTAAAGAAAGAATATGCCAGAAAGTAGGTTGATCAGTACTGGAAGCATCAAAAAAAGTGACAATAGAGTAAAAAATGATATTACCTATCCATCTAAATGCTAGACGCCCCAGTCCTAGAATAATGAGGTCTAGAAATGAGGACAGGTATAGATAGCCCTATAGTAGAAATTTTACTATCTTAGCCAGTGCAATAAAAAATTACAATCATTTGTTCACCAAGCAAATATCTGATTAAAATTTGGCTTCCCACGTAGTACGACTGTAGTGAGAAAACGCACCAGCCAGAGGACACACATGTCTGGCTCCTCTGGCAATTATATTTCTTACTGTCAATTAATAAGCTGATGTCTGTTTTTCTATGGTTAATATAAGCTCACCTTTGAGAAGCAGATCCACTCTCAGTACACTGACTAATCAGGTTTCTAAGCCTACGAAGAGTCAGCTCCTGAGACAAGGATGATAATTATGGTACCTAGAGCAGAACTGTTGGGGTGTTCAACAAATCATCTCTGGGAAACATTGTGTACAAGCACTCTATTAGAAACCAGTAGAGACTGTTAACATATTTCACGAAAACAGTGCACATGTGAGGGCTTTGCAAACTATACAGTGATATTCAAACGCTGGTTTTTAATTTGTCTATTTCATGAAGGACAATGAACAAAATCACAGATATCTATAAAACTTTATGTAATTAGTTCTCACTTCTTTCATTTTTTCCATGTGCTTTACTGTAAGCTCTTCTAAATTTCTGAGAGAGTCCTCAGCCTGTCTTCACTGTGCTGGAATATGCACCAGATAAAAAAAGCTGTTCCTCTACAGCAAGTAGTAACTTCTTTCTTGAGAAGGTGATGACTCCTAATTGAAGGTTTTCCTTGATAGAAAAGATAAACATATGTGTGTGTACGCAGTGCCCACATACACACACACACACATACACAACTGAGGATGCAAGAAATCTGAGGTATGCATATGCCTAGAATTATTCTCTCTACAAAGTATAATTTAGTTTTCCTATTAACTATAACTCTTATGTTACCCTAAGAGCCCTAGTGGTGTGGTGGTTAAAGCACTCTGCTGCTAACCAAAAGGTCAGTGTTTCAAACCCACCAGCTACTCCATGGGAGAAAGATATGGCAGTCAGCTTCCACAAAAATTACAGCCTTGGAAGCCCTATAGGGCAGTTCTACTCTGTCCTATAGAGTCGCTAGGAGTCAGAATTGATTTGACAGCAATGGGTTTGGTTTGGTGGTTATGTTACCCATTTATAATAAGTAGTTAAATGAAACAGCTGACAATACCAAAAAACTAAAGCTTTGAAAAGCTGTATAGTATCTTCTAAAGTAAGAAATGAGGATATGATAACACATAATGCAAATTATGTATGGAAGAGTGTTTAAAAAAAAAAAAGCACAAGCTTTTCTGTCTGTCTAGTTCTTTAGTTTAAAATCTAATAATCTGAAAATCTCCCAAAGGCCCCTTGCAATGATAATATTCTGTCCAGAATGCTTTGTTCTTCCTAATAAACATTTAGAAATAAAAGGACTCCTCTGGAAGATAGAATCTCCCGTGACTATTAATCAAGGAAGTATTTTACTCACAGAATCTCTTACAATACATGTTGACTTCTAAGTCATTCAGTTCTCTTATAAATCTTGACTAAGTTTGCCATCAGTGCTGTCTTCAACTTTTTTTAACTTGGAAGTAATCATGCTACATAACAACTTGCAATACCACAGTGGGTAAAAGATAAATACCTGTTAACTGATGAACTGATATCTGTGTTATTAAAATAACTAAGTATAAATAAGATTTGGTGTTAAAACCAAATACAGTATATAAACAAGTTAATCTGACCCAAATTGTATGCTATACATAATTATTATTGTACTGCTGACAGTCCATATAAATAATTAAATTCAGTTTTACTTTTTTAAAAAGCAAAGCCTTATTATTATTGTTTTCTCCTTTGATTTGCTAAGTTTTCCAGAATCTTATCATCTTTCACATAAACAGTTTTAGTGGACAATATGCAGAATTTTAATAACCATCTGATACTCGCACTGAAAAAAAATGGACCCAGGTCTGAATCCTGACTCCCCTATGTGTCCCCCCTGTGACTTGCAGCTAAAAATTTTCTCATGCCCGCATCATCTGGTCCCCACTCATATCTTCTTTCTTCTTCTCCCCACAGGGTCTCTGACCATCACAAGGGTACTTGTAGTTTTAGTGCTGGGTATCAGAGAGCCCAAGACAACTGGAAAACAAAGGATCCTATGAGGACTGTTTGGCAATACAGAAAATGTTATAATAACAGAAAAAGCAGAATGTAAAATTATTATTACAACTGTATGAAAATCAGATACACAAGGAAAAAACTGAAAGCAAATAGATCAAAATGTTAAAAGCAGGTGTCATAAATTGGTGAGACTGTGACTAAGGATTAGAAAATAAATGTTTGAACAATGGTGAAGGGTAAGACAGTATACAATACTGGGGAAGTCAGCACAGCTTGACCAAGGCAAAGTCATAGAAGCTTCATAGACACATCCAAACTCCCTGAGGTTCCGAATTACTGGGCTGAGGGCTGGGGATCATGGTCTCAGGGGACATCTAGCTCAACTGGCATAGTTTATAAAGAAAATGTTCTACTTCCTACTTTGGTGAGTAGTGTCTGGGGTCTTAAAAGCTTGTGAGCAGCCATCTAAGATACTCCACTTGTCCCACCCCACCTGGAGCAAGGGAGAATGAAGAAAACCAAAGACACAAGGAAAAGATTAGTCCAAAGGACTAATGGACCACAATTACCACAGTCTCCACCAGAGTTGGTCCAGCACAACTAGATGGTGCCCGGCTACCACCATTGACTGCTCTGACAGGGATCACAACAGAAAGTCCCAGACAGAGTTGGAAAAAAATGTAGAAGAAAATTCAAACTCACAAAAAAAAAAGACCAGACTTACTGGTCTGACAGAGACTGGAGAAACCCCAAGAGTATGGTCCCTGTACACTCTTTTAACTCAGTACTGAAGTCACTTCTGAGGTTTACCCTTCAGCCAAAGATTAGACAGGCCCATAAAACAAACAATAATACACGTAGCTCAACCATGTATTTGAGACTAAATGGGCACACCAGCCCAGGGGCAAGGACTAGAAGGCAAGAGGGGACAGGAAAGCTGGATGAATGGAAATGGGAAACCCAAGGTTGAAAAAAAAAGTTATTTAAGAACCTTGAGGGAAGATGAAAGGAGTTGAAATGGTTTTATTCTGGTGATAAGAAAACTAAGGGAGGGATAAATAGCTGTTTTCAAATATCTTGAAGGTTAGTTTCAGGACACAGTCCCACTGAACTCAGCCCCTGGCCATTCCTGATTCAAAGGGCTTAAATGCAAATGCCAGAGGAGAACTTTTTTAAATTTTTTTATTGTTGTTCTTTAAGTGAAAGTTTACAATTCAAGTTAGTCTCTCATACAAAAATTTATACATAGTTATGTGATCCTAGTTGCTCTCCCTATACTGTGATGGCACACTCCTCCCTTCCACCCCGGATTTCCCGTGTCCATTCGACCAGCTCCTGTCCCCTTCTGCCGTCTCATCTCGCCTCTGGACAGGAGCTGCCCATTTAGTCTCGTGTATCTACTTGAGCTAAGAAGCACACTCTTCGTGAGTATCATTTTATGTCCCA